AAAATCTTACTGTTCAAAAACTTTTGACTGGTATAGTGTATATATATATTGAAGTGGTGATGGGCCGCCTGGACCAAAAAAATGCCAGGGCTGATTTTTTGTCCCAGTCCAGCCCTGCACTCCACACAGACATTTGAACAGTGCACATTTTTCTAGGTTAACATTAGATTGAGCGACCATGTAAAGTTGCTACTACTTGCATATTTCAGATGATAAGCCATATTTGAGGTCGATGAATGATAGGTGAGCGTTTGGATGTACTATTAACGATCTGTCCGTCACAGACTGCGTGACCTCACCACTTCCTGTGGATTTTTTTTTCTGCGACTAATAACATTTTGGTCGACCAAGCCTCTTCTCGTCGACTATTAGGGGGCAGCCCTAATATATATATGTATATGTAATATTTATGTATGTATATGTATAATTTTATTTATAATATATTTTATGGTATACACACACACACACACACACACACACATATAATTGTGCATTGTAATATACAATATAAAATTTACCTTTGTTTTGCTTTGTTGCCAAAAAAACAGTGCTATTCTGTTAATAACCCTAGCTAGCACTGAAGTACAATTAAGTTACTGGTCATTGTTTTCTCTCTTTCTAATTATTGTAGATGCAATCTTAATTTTGTATATTGAAGATACAATGTCATGTTTTTGGAATTTAGTGGATAGTTGGATTTTCATACATGCACCTTTAAATGGCTGCATCTGTGAAATTATTATTTGTTGTTCTTGTTTCCTTGCTTGGATTGTTTGGAAAATTAAAATGTTTGGAAAATTAAAATTGATATTTCCTACTGGCACACTAAAGCAAAAGATACTAATAGCCATCCTAAAAAATATTCATTATATATTCATATATAAATTATGTCTATAGTTATTTGTATCTTTTATTTTAATATATATATAGTCAAGAACACAGTCAAGAATTCACCATATACATATTTAGTACATTCTTGACTGTATATATACAGTATATAAAACTTAAAAAAGGGCTTGTCTACACACTACTGTTGTGTAGTGACTGTACTCATATAGCCTAATAGACATCATTAATTTATAAAGGTCTGATTCTGTCGTGTGTAAAGTGCAGTCATGTGTAATCAGTGTGTTTGGAGCGGTGAGTACAAGAGCTGCTGTGATCAAAGAAGAAAATACTGAAAGTGTAAGTTCAACATTCTATTAAGTCTATTAAGCTTTGGCAAAACTTTACTATTTTTAAAAAGAAGCTGGCTGTTTTCTGTAGTTTGTGCAGAATCGTTTGCGTCAAAACGCTTGATATGCAGATGTGTCTGTTTTTGTGTTCCTCACGAGTGACGGCCGCGCCAGATAGAATGTCTTTCTTCTTCTGAAAATGCCTTGAAGTCTCTTGGGAACTTGGAGTTATTTTTGCTGCTTTTAAAGGCTTCATGTCTTTATTCCTCCTGTGGAGAGCGCTGGAGAAAAAACTGCCCAACTCCCATTCTCATTCCCTCATCCCCTCCTGTTTCTTCATCTTTCTGTTCTCTCAATTTCGTAAAGCATTTGTGGTTGGATGTTTTGCATTACCTTCTTGTATGCAACATCTGGAGCATTAATGGTGCTGTATCTGTGGATAGTAAAAGTAAAAGGATGTTAAGGTATTAGTGTGGTAGTCGAAGGGCAAAAGGTTAATTCCTTTGTGGTAATCCTGAAACCGTAGAGGATTTAGAGGAGATCTTATTTCTTTTGTTTTCTTGACTGTACAGATGTGAGCAGTCTCTTGGACCAGCTCTCAGACGTGTGTTAGAAAGAGCTTGCTATGGTCACCAAAGACAACGCTAACTCTGGTGAGTATAAAATGATCTCAACCCACTGTAAATGAACAAAAACTTATTTATGTGTTACATTACATAAATGTATTACATCAATGACTCTTTTCAAAGGTTGCTTGAGCAGCAAATCAGCATATTAGATGGATTTCTGAAGGATCATGTGACACTGATGATTGGATTAATGATGCTGAAAATTTATTTTAAAAAGATTAAAATAGAAAACGGTTCATTCTAAAAAATATTTCATATTACTTTACTGTATTTTTGATCAAATAATTGCAGCCTTTGTAAGCAGAAGAGACTTCTTTCAAAACCGTTTTTTAAAATATTACTGATCCCAAGATATTGAATGGTAGTGTAGATAGAAAGACAGATTGTACATTTCTAGATAAATTCCAATTTTATTAGTTTGCTAATCATCATAACTCATCGTGTACATGAATGTTAACTTCAAATTGTGTGGCTTGCCTATGATTTCTGCATGGCAGACACTAATGGGTGAAAGCAATCTTTTAGGCTTATATTAAAGGAGTGTCTCAAGTCAGATCTATAGATCTGAATATCAGGGAGACTATTTTTGTCTCTTTTGTTTAAGCAACCAAATTGCAACATTAACAATATCATAGAGACTTCTGCATGTGCAGTTTTTTTAATAAAATGTATGCACCCTCTTTTATTGTCCTAGGCTCTGGCGGCAAGACAACCTGTGTGAAGAAGCAAAAGTGTATGATGAACAATTCCCAAAAGGCTGGGACGCTATACAGGGACTCGCAGAAGACCATATTTGAACCCGAACTGACCTTAGAGGTCACGGCTGACGATGCTGGAAGGAAAACAAATCCAGTCGCAGCGAACGGTGTTATAGAAACGGCTGTGAACGAACAGACATGTAACGTATGGAGCATTTCCAATCTCCAGAATCTGAAAGAGATGCAATATCTGTACCACGAGACTGAGGACAGTCTAATTGACCCATCACTGGACATAGACAAGTCGTCCCTCATGGGTTTCATTGACTCTAGTAACCTGGAGAGCTCAGAGGATGTTCAGACGGTTCCGTGCATCCAGGTGGACGTTAAAACGGATGTGGTGCTGATCGATGAGGATGATGATGATCTGTCTCTAAGGGAGAGGACCGTGACGGACGTGTCCTCTGCAGACGGGAACGCGGCCGAGCTTGTGTGTGGGCGGCTCCAGTCAATCTCCTCTGACTCCTCCCACTCTTTATGTGATGGGCGGAGTCTAGAGCAGGGCTCGACCATTGAGACGCCTCAAGAGAAACAGGAGCCGCCCAAAAAACACAAACGCTCTTGCTGCCTCTGTGTTATCATTTGAGGTTTCCCGGAAAAAGGGCCAAGATTATACACTTTTCAAGCATTTTATTTCTATAAAATAATTTTATAATGTTGGTCAATGTTTCTTGCATCAAAAACATGATCATTTTAACTCTCTCTCTTACCCTTAGAGTTAAAGGGGTCATATGATGCTGCTAAAAAGAACATTATTTTGTGTATTTGGTGTAATGAAATGTGTTTATGCGGTTTAAAGTAAAAAAAACACATTATTTTCCACATACTGTACATTATTGTTTCTCCTCTATGCCCCGCCTTTTTGAAACGCGTCGATTTTTACAAAGTTCATCGGTCTGAAAAAGCGAGGTGTGCTGTGATTGGCCAGCTATCCAATGCGTTGTGATTGGCCGAATACCTCAAGAGTGAGACGGAAATGTTACGCCCCTCACATACTGTTGATGCCGTGTCCCGGCCGGAGCGACGTGACAAAAACATAAAACCCATTACAAACGAGGCATTTGTTGCATCCAGTGGGGACATAATTACTGATTATAATGACTTATACGGTCTTGCATCGCGCCGCGTAAACATAAAACTCTGTCTGCATTTGTGATCAGAGAAATGA